GCATTGCTGATTGAGATATTGCTGGGGTTGTCTGGTATTAAATTTAATAATGCATTCATAAGAACATAGAACAAAGTGGGTCTAAGTACTCCACCTTGAGGGGTACCAAGTTGCATGTGTTTAACTTCACTTTTGTAACCCTGAAACAGTGCAGCAGCCCTTCTGTTGGTTAGCTACCCGCTTATCCAGTGTAACAGCCTACCTCCTATATCCATTTTGGCTAGTTCGTACAATATCAGTTGTCTATTGACAATATCAAATGCAGCTTTTAGGTCAAGAAACAGTGCCGGATTTAGACCTGTGAAGGCCCATGGGCAGCCTCTTTGTGGAGGCCCCTCTCATTATAAGTACCCAAGAGGGTGGGGTGGCAAGTGAAGCGAGCCTAAACATCTGGAAGTTCCGGGGGGCGCTGTAACCCCGCGGGAAGATTTTGAAATTTGAACACTTCTTTGGAGAATTTTGAAGTCATGATGTGAGGGGGCGGGATCCTTGGGCTGCCACCAATGTGAGGGGACGGATTCTTGGTCTTGCCACCAATGTGAGGGGGCCGGTTCCCTCTCTGTTTCTACACCACCCTCATCTTACTTACTTCTCTGAGTTCTTACTCTTACTCAGTTCCGTCACCTATGCTTGGGTAGCATGGACATTCCTTTGGTAGCATGGTCATTCTTTTGGTAGCATGGTCGAGGGTCTAGGCACGTGAGTATGGTAATTTTGGTATCAGGTCACTTGGATGGAAATAAAGGTAAAATACTGTGGGAGAAATGAATACACCTTAATTACTCTAAAAACAAGTTTATTAATATGCAATCAATGGGGAAAGATTTTGTATTAATCATATGATTACCAGGTTCACCTCCTGGGCTTAGTGCAAACTCAGTACCTTCTTCTTTACTCTTACTCACAACATTACTGGTGGTACATTACATGGCACTCATGGTAGATTATTCAACATATACGTAAACAATGACACTAGTATATGCAGGGGTCCACTACCCAACATGGGATAATTATTTCCAACTAATTATCCCTAACATACATGTTACAACACTCTCTGGGGACATATACTTCCAAGGAGTAACCCAGGGTAGAGCACTGGGGCTGTTGTTATTGTGGGGTAGCCAGACACATGGTGGGTCTGGGGTCTGGCCCAACGAAGCCGTGGGGCACAGTAATCAGGCCGCATCGGTGCCATCTTCTCATATATGATCCCGGCTGGACATCTAATACATCCGAGGCCGTTGTTGGATGGTAGAGCGATTCAAGAATCACCATGGGATCTGTATGGATGAAGGGACGGGCACTCACTAACGGTAGAAATGCCCGCGGCGCCCTCACTCAAAATAGGCCAGGAAGTCCACCTACTTCTATTCCGATGAATTAATTTACTGTACACTTTGACGTTGAGACTGAGACTATGAACTCATTTTCATTCTCTACTATTATCTTCACTAACAATGCTCTGACTCAGCTATCAAAAGCAAAATTAAATTGATTACAAAGGGTTGGATGGCAACAGGTCCCAACATACAGCGTCTAAACAAAGACGGGCTATCGATGACGTCATCAAGGAACAGAGAAAACGGAGGACATTTACACTGGGGGACTCAGAAGGTTTTGTGGACGTTTGAGCGTAATATGAATCCTTAAGGTTTTCAGGTTAGCCGTCATCACGATCATTACAATGATGGAATAGATAAACATGAATTTTAAAGAATGAAAATGAAAATAATCCAAATGAATAAACGAATAAATAAAATATTGTAATATGCGCGGGCCCTTAGATTGTGGAGGCCCCTGGGCAGCTGCCCACTTTGCCCACTCCTGAATCCGGCCCTGTCAAGAAATGTGGTGTATCTGTGCCTTTCATCACCAATTAGGAATGTGGTTATGCAATTATGTACACCTTTACCATGGGTGAAGCCATATATGTAAGGAGACATGTGTTCTCCGATTCTATATAAGTCTGCCAAGAACCATCCTCTCAAAAGTTTTACACAGGCAGCTGGTTAGTGATATAGGACGAAAAGCATCAGGCTGTCCTGGTTTCGGTATTGGTACAACAATACTCCTGGTCCATGATGTGGGTAGTTGGCCCTCGGTATGACTCATATTGTACAATACCAATACCAGTAGTCTAACGATGTTGTAGGTGACTGCGTCCTCTCCAGGGGAAGTAGACCTACCCCTGGCGAGGGCTGCGTCAAGCTCCCACTCAGTATATGGAACATCACACTCATCGTGCTGTTTGCCCAGCATAAAGTTAATAAGATTACTTCTCTCTACAGACTTCGCATCAATGAGTCTCCGAGTCCTAGCTGGTAACATGTCATAGCTAGACCCACGAGTCCACTTTGTTATTAGCTCATTCGACTTTTGCAGAGGGTTTGGATGGGAGACATGTCTACTGTTTTTACCCCTGACTGTGTTCGTCTTTCCAGGCTTTGCTGAGGGATGTGTGTTGGGTCAGGCTGTTGACATGTCTCCCACATTTGTCCGAGTTCGTTTACACGCTCCCTGACAGCAGCAAGAGAAGCTTGATACAATTGTAACATTTGAGGTGTTCAAATTTGTTTGTAACCCTTACCCACCCTCCTGACGAGTCCCGAGTTATTATTTCTTTCAGTTTAGGGTCATCATAGCACTGCTGTTGCCTGTTCCCATTATGCTGACCACGTTTTCTCCTTTTTTTGTGGTGGCATTGTTGGTGAAGTATGTATAAGTCCTATCTATCAGATCGTCATGGAAACTTTGGTAGACTGTGCGCCTACGTCTGTTGAGTTTACCACCAGTGGGGGTGTCATTCGCTACATGTATGCTAGCTTGGATTGGGCTGTAGTCAGACATAAGATCAGTGACAACATCAGAGCTATGAGTTGTGTAGGATAGATTAAAACCAATACTTGTCTAGACCCCCGCCAAAGATGTGTGTTCATTATTACCTATGATTTGAACATCTTTATATGCGCTGAGAAGTGAGATAAGTCTCCTACCATTGGTGTTAGTGGTGGAGTCACCTAATTTCTTGTGTCTAGTATTCAGGTCACCCATCAGGACAGTGGGCTCAGTGTGTAAAAAGTCTGGGAGATCTGTGTACTGAAGCTGATCTGAGGGAGCATAGGCGTTTAGCACGTTGAGTGTGGAGTTGCCCAGGTGGATACTGAAGATTGGTAGTCATTTTGAATACAAGAGGTACATGTGGGATTGACTTCTTAACATACATCACACATGTGTGAGTAGAACTAGGATCATAATACACATAATTGGACAGACTGTCCTCAGTCACAACTTTGTGGTGTAAGTCAGGGTATCGTTTTCTAAGGGATGGGATGTTCCAACTCATCACCTTTACCGCTCTGTATCTTTGTCTGATATTAACACTGGGACTAAGGAGTCTGCAATATATGGTACTGTATCTCGCTAATATACGTAACTTATGAGTTGTTTTGAGTATCCGGCACCTGGTCTGACGGTTCCCTTCAGGTTAATTAATTACTTTCGTAATTAACATCCTTACAACAATTTCACTATGATAAAGAGGTGACTTCAGCCTCGGTGAACAATCACTGGCATCTCTAGGGCCGACGTCAATGATACTCACTGCCGACTCTACCCTGACTTATATTGACAATTAAGCTAACAGTAAATACAATTGTAGCTTTCAACATCAGTCACAACGGATCTTGAATGCTTCATCTGCAATTTTTCAAGACCTGCAACACTGTTACACATTCTAACACTAAATATCTCCTTCCAGTCCATCACAAGTTCACACAACCGGTTCTTATCTAACATAGTTGGTCTATTCACATAACTAGCTATAATTAATGACAACTTTAAATTCAGATTTTTGTACTTTACCTCACACTCTAATTTACCTTCTGTGCTCAAAATCTCTCCAGTATAGGTTCTCAACTTGATACCCGAGTCTTCTAAAGGCACATGCACAAATAGCTTCTCTACTCATTATAGAGAAATCAGCTGCAGTGTCCACTTCCATGGTTACAATTGTGCCATCAATGCGTTAGTTCACATTATACCTATGTTTAACTTTCTCTTCATGACTGGTGTAAATAGTACACACATGGACACATCATTATCAGGTTCAAAACTTCTAACACTCATGAATACCGTTTTTCATTTCCTTCTCATCACCTTCGACGACATATAATCTACCTTTATCACTTCTGGCAGGGGCTGTAATTTCTTTCTCACAGGCAGGAGCAATATGTCCAATACGCTGACAATTTTAACATCTTGAATTTTTGAACTTACACTGAAAGCTTTCATGTTTGCCTAGGCATCTTTTACATTTTAAATTAGCATGTGTTCCTTGTTCTGTGGCATAATTCTTCCTTTTTAGCCACAGTTACTTTACACACCGATCCACTACTGCCAACTGTTTCACAACCGGCACTGGGAACAAGTTCTCTGGTGTTTTTCTCTGCTAATTTCATGCTTGTAGCCAACTGACATGCTTTTTCAAAAGTTAATTTCGTGGTGCTCATTCACTTATTTTGCATTTTTTTATAATTCAGACCTATCAAAAACTTGTCTCTTAAGAGCTCTGTTCAAGAACTGTCCAAAGTTACATTGAATGGATAACTTCTTCAAAGCTACTATATAATCACCAATTTATCTTTCCCTCTATCTCTTGTGCCAAATTTGTAACTTTCAGCAATCTCAAGTGGAGTCGTTTGGTTTGTCTGGAGCAGAGTAGAATAAGCATTAGCTCCTACCTCTGTCAAAAAGATTGCTTTCCTTTTCATTTCAAGGGCCTTCTTCTGAGCGTCACCACCATCGTCCATTCTCTCACAATATGATGTGAAGTTCTCCTTGTTTGCATCATACTCCCCCACTCGTCCAATGTATCCACTGACGCAGGCCTTCCCTTCAGTGGTCACTATCCTCTCTTCAAGGACTTCAACACTTTGTGAATCCCATCCTCGTCGCCAGTGTATTATCTTACATGATTTAATGGGAGAATGAGAAGCCACATGCCAAGTCTTACTCCAGGCGTTTATTGTTATGTACACATTCGTGATTACACAGGCCTAAACACATTCTAACTTTGGTAAGAAGTAACAGAATATATAATGTATATATCAATAAAAGCAGCATATAAACACACACACATAACCTACTGAAATAATTATGTCCCTAATTAATTAGTACAGAATTACATATACTGCACAATGTACTGTACCTTGGAAAAATATGGAACAAAATTATTAGCAATCTGAAATACTCCGTTACCGTTAAATGTTTATTAGATACCAGCACAGAGAAATGGTTATTACAAATCACAGTTAAAAACACCTACATTAGCTCATTCCTTCCTCCCAACTGGGTACCATTTTAAATTACAATCGAATCGCTGAAACCATTTATAAGATAACTTTTAAACTCAACCTGGTTTCCTCTTAATTTCTTACTTCATTTATTTTCTCCATTAGTTTTGTCTAGTTATTTCATTTCATAACATTACTCCATAACCTCTTATCTTTGGTATCGTGGCTCGGGGGTTATGACATGGGTACACTGTAATTCCGATATCAAGCAATGGGAGAGAATGATGGGGGTCAACTCCCTGGCTTTACTTATTTGGTACTGTTAAACTTAGGTACATTTTCCACTTACATGTACAAGAACACACACAATACTCTTACATAGCACCTTTGAGCACTATTACAAGTGGCAATGATGCCAGTTACAGCACCAACACTAATACTTTAACATCACCAGAATTAGTAGCTTCTCTTCACCACTATGGTACCTTTGCCCACACACAAACACTCAGACATACAGGTGTATTCAGAGGAATAACACAGCCACCATATACCCCTACTGAGTAGTGGACTCATCCATAACAATGAAGGGGGCTGGCAGTGTTTGCTCTGCCTGTGATATCAACAAACTGGACATTGAACGGCTAACCAGTTGAATGGATCCCAGAGGTGGTGGTTAGTTCCTGACGCTCGTGTTCACGAATTTACCCGAGTTCACTGGCCTTCGTCCATCTCCCAAATTAGTGTGGAGGTCGTCCCAATCTACAAGGCTCTTGGCCAAGAGGAACCTGTGGGTGGAGGAGTTTCAGACACTGGACCGAGTTTGTCGACATGAACGTCAACGTTTCAAAAGGACGCTAAGGGCGTGAGATTACTTCACTTTATACACATCAGTTACGTTACTGTATCACTTGCATATTCAAACTATAACACGGAGCTGGACATTACCTGTGCGTGGAGGAGTTTCAGACGCTGGACTGATGCCTGAGAGCGTCAGTGCCCCGCACTACTCCTCCCTCGATCAGCTTCGAGTTCCACTCACCCAACAGCTCTGCCTGAGCTGTCGATTACATCCAGTAGATTCTGAAAGATACCTGGTCTGACAGTTCCCTTCAGGTTAATTAATTACATAATTAACATCCTTACAACAATTACACCATGAACATCAGATTCTCTGATTTTCATATGTAAAAAGAGGGTGACTTCAGCCTCGGTCAACATCTCTAGGGCCGACGTCAATGATACCTCCATCTCGCTGCCGACTCTACCCTGACTTATATTGACAATTACACTAACAGTAAATACAATTGAAGCTTTCAACATCAGTCACAACGGATCTTGAATGAACATCCTGTGCGGAATTTTGGTATACAGTACTTGAGTTTCTATGGTAATGCGACATAGATAACGGAAGACTATCTCCTGAAGTGGTTAGAGACGAATGTTTCAACTGGTAACTCAAAAAGGTTTACAGGTTTTGTGGGTGTGGAGAGTAATATGAATTATTAGGTTTTGACAGACTAGCCATGTCATTATGACCATGACACCCCTTCTCCAAGATTCATGTTATGCGGTAACATTCAGAAAACATGTATACTGTAGTAGTTACACATTCTTTAAATAACATACTTTCGGTTATTGGTTTCACGATATGGTGCACACACTAAATCATTAATACAAAATATAATTTCCCATACACAAATAATTCACATATAACAATAAAATAGAATATCATTCACTATAGGTTATCTGAATTTTGGTCATTATGAAATGGTAATCGGTTATCATACAATTAGAATGTGACACGGCAGGAACAATGACTGGTGAGGCAGGAACCAGGGCCGCCGCTTCCATTACGCGAGGTTAGCAAATGCTAAGGGCGCTAAAGATGCTAAGGGCGCCAACAGTGTCACCACCACAGCTCCATTCTTCACAGCCAACAGATACAGTGTCACCACCACAGCTCCATTCTTCACAGCCAACAGATACAGTGTCACCACCACAGCTCCATTCTTCACAGCCAACAGTAACAGTGTCACCACCACAGCTCGAATGTGCTGCATCCAGGGCTGCACCTAAGAACATAAGGAGTCTGCAATAGGCCGGTTGGCCTGTGCATGGCAGCTCCAGTCGAGAGTTACTACCACTCTCTATCATCCATGAATCTATCTAGCCTCCTTTTGAAACTTTCCAGAGTTCCCGCACTTACTACAAAGTTGCTAAGCTTGTTCCACCACCCTATTTGTGAACCAGTTTATTCCTATCTCCCTCCTAAACCTAAACTCATCCAACTTGAATCCGTTGCTCCGAGTCCTATCCTGCTCGGATATTATAAGAACTTTATCTATATCCCCTTTATTGATTCCTTTCACCCACTTAAATACTTCTATCATATCTCCCCGCACTCTTCTTTAACCTATCCTGATATGGAAGGTTTCCAAGTCCCGGAATCATTTTTGTCATTCTTCGCTGCACCGACTTTAGTGAATTTATATCCATTCTATAATAGGGGCACCAGAACTGAACCGCACAATCGAAGCGCGGTCTGACTAGCGCAAGATATAGTTGCAATAAGACCTCTGCACCCAATACCTGTTTGCCTTATTTGAACATTAACGCACTGTTTTCGTGCTGCAGGTCCGGCCATAAGGCCTTCTAGTCTCTTTCAGCGTCGACTTCTGTGTTGATGCTGTTACACCGTATACATTATAAGCATTTGTTCTTCCAATATTGGGCATACCACTTGCTGGTGTTGAATTTCATTTGCTATTTTCAGACCACCCCTGCAGTATATTTAGATCTCCTGTAATGCATTTGCATTCTGCCCTGAATTAATTTGTCAGTCCTATTATGTGGTGTCATCGGCAAACTTGTTTATGCCAATGCTTGAGTCCCAGTATTCAGACTGCTTATGTAGATTATGAAGAGGGCCTAAAGATTGACCCTGGGAAACCCCACTGGCTGCTAATTTGCCCTAATTCCAGATTTAACACCATCTACACTGACCTCTGCGTTCTATCGGTGAGCCATGATTTTATCCAATTTAAAAACTAAACTTTCCTCGTATACCAGAACTCTAATTTTCTCAGCTTCCTGATGCGGTGTCAAATGTTTACAAAGCCCAAGTAAATAACATCGTACTTTCGTCATTATCTACTACACTCAAGACTTTCTCTAAAAAACGTTAGCAGATGTTAGACAAGATTTTCTTGTAACCCATGCTAAGAGTCGTAGATTAAGGCTGCAATTGTTGACCTACTGACTGGCCTCCCTCATCCAACCAGGAAAAAGCAGAACTTGTCGCAGAGGACCTACCAAGTTGATCCTAAATATGGGTTTCCAAAAAGGATGGGAGAAGATTAACATGATTACTTTTTGAATCTTAGTAAATGGAGAGAGATCCAAAGAAGTTATTAATTTATTGGTGAAACAGATAAATTTTTTGTTTTGTTGTAAAATGTTTTCTACGAAACATGTTAGAATGGCTGAAGGCATCAATGATTGCTAAATATTTGCTCAGTACATGAAAGAAAGTATAGAACACACTAAAAACATGACAAATATAGAAGGAACTGAGGTCAATATTGCAAGAGGAAGGACGATAGACAGACGGGAAATGTTAATGGCTGAGGAACGGTGGCGCCAAGTCCTCACTAGACTAATGGCGATTATTCAGTCTCTA